TATCCAGAGAGTGGACATTCTGAATGGATAAATTATTCTGTTATGCGTTGGACTGCCGACTGCAGCTGCGCAAGAAAGCAACAGATAGAGAGAGCGATCAAAGCGGATAACAATTTTTAAGTCCATTGCGTCTACTGCATCAATGGTAACAATGCTTTTGATCCCGTTACCTGGTTGTTTATCCAAAGCGCTTACTCATAACGCGAGCATTACGAATGGTTGTTATTGTATTAGTGCAAGTGCGAAAATTTAGTTTGTGCGCGTCATCTCTTTTGATCGGTCGTATTCTGAGCGCGTGTGTATAAAAACGACAGTGAACCAAATTAAATTACATAATTATATTGTTATCATTGTGTTTAACGTGATTACCTTGTGTTAAATGGCATTTGTAAAAGTGTTTCCGTTCTTCTCAGTTGAAGTTGTGTTTAAAAATCGGTAAAATACGCAATCGTTTAATTTATGGTGCAAAGCTTTTTCATTTTTGGCGCACATTTTGGCAAAATATATGAGAGAGAGAGGAACAGTAGAAAAAAAAAGTGAGTACATTGCGGTATTTAAGACCCTTTGCGTGCCCTTACATTGGGTATTCAAATTGTTTACTTAATGTATAATGCATAGAAAGACCTAAAGACATAAAGTATTTTTATTCTTAATCAGTATCCATTGTATTATATATTACATAATTATACCGTTGATTTACATATATATCGATTCGAATTTGTGGTAAATACTCGTGCCAAGGGTATTCAGTTGTCGTTATGATTTTGGGCCATCATCCATTTATGGGCCATGTATCATAGTAGACCCATTTCTGCCATGCGGTTCTGCATAGCGCAAAATCTAATGTCAGCTTAGCGCACAATTTGTTGCTGTTGACAGCTGTGAGAGATTGTTGCTGATGTTGTTGTTGTATTTGTTGCTGCTGCTGCTGCATTCGGAGCAAAGTACGAAGCGAATAGGGACAGAGAACGTCAAGAACGGCAGCAACAGCCCATTGCAGGCATTTGCCATTTACCATTGTCCTGTTATTCGGTTCTGTGTCTTCTATGCCAGGATGTTGGCAGAGTTTCTGCTGCTTCGGTTGCTGCGCTGCTGCTGCGCTGCTGCTGCTGTGAGTGTCAGTCACAAATGCTAACGACATTTTGTTATTTACTTATTGCATTCATTTAGTCGGGCTCTCTCTTTCGTTCTCACTTTCCTATGACTAACGCACTCTGGACCACATTACCTCATCTGTGCGGAGAGGGAAGGGAAGGGAAGGGTAGGCCGAGTAACTCTCGTCTTGTGCTCATCTCTTTGCTATTTTTAATCTGCCGCCCTTTTGTATTGCACTTAACTTGGGCTGCAGTCTCTTCGCTGCCTCTGACTCGAGTTGAGTTGAGTCGAGTCGAGTGCATTGTAGCGTCTGCTCCTAGACCAGAATTTTAGTTGAACAATGGGCCTCAAATAATGGGGCAAATTGAATTTGAATTGGTTGGCTGCTCGGTTGCTTGGTATTCTATGCACGGAGACGTCTTCTGTCTTCGCAGTTGTGTTCCCCTACCCTGCCCTACTCCCGCCGCGTCTTGAGCTCAATAATTGTGCTCATTGTCAAGGAATTCAGTGTGAAAACAATGCGCAAGTCGTAGGAGTCCTGCTGGATGGGTGCACTGGCTCTATTGTGCGTGCTCTGTAAATATTATTCTACTTAAAAAATGTAGAAGCAGCAGCTAGGATACAAGATACGAAAAAATTAAAAAGGTTATGACAAGCAAAGCATTTGTCGTAAATGGTATAACGCCAAGCCAAGGGAATGGAAAGATAAATGGAAAATATAGAAATGTTGAGAGCTGTGTGCACAATGAGAAGAATGCGAAGAAACAGGCCAAAACGACGAACTGGCCATAAAAATCAATTGAAGTCGAGTTGAAAATCAGAGCCGTATTATTCCCTTTCGTTGATTTGTTGTTGTTCTTATTCGGGTTCGGGTTCGGGTTCGGGCTCGGACTCTTGCTGCCTGTTGTGGCAAATGACAAAGGAGCAATTATGTTGAGGTCCAGGCACACAAGGATTCAATAAAAGTGCTGAGAGCTCAAGCGAATTATAGTTTATTTCAAACAAATTGTGATTAACAATTTGCTGTTTTCAGTCAGAAATTAAATAAAAGAAGTTCCCAATAGACAAGTAAAAAAAATGTATAGGGAGTGAATTATATTTGAAAAATATGATTAACCAAGAATGAAAGCAAATAGAATAAATTGTTGGCTAACTTTTCCAAAAGGGGAGGCCCTGTGGCTAGGATACAACGGCAAAGTACTCAAAAAACTGTTCTTTCGAAATGATTATGAAGATATTGTTAAATAGGTTCCCTAGGGCTTTCTTATATATTTTCAATAAGAGCAAATACCACAATCCTTTTAAGCGGAAGCTGCTAACACTTAACCCTAATGTTAGTCATCAAAGAGTTATACCCGAAGCCAACCGCATAATCCTATACAAATACTGCCTAATCCAACTCTTGCACAAACTAGATCCACCTCTCAGTTGCATGCCTCAAATCCGTGCTGAACACATGCAACATTCTCGGGCAGACCGCAGTTGAGACCTTGACATAGGTGGGATTTATTGTTGCATTTGTCGTTGGCCATGGCCGATTTAACAAAATGCTAAACCAGATGCTAATCCTTTTTTCGGTAGTCCAATTCCATTTCCTATTGCACTACCTGCAACCGCGCAGCTGTTGTCATTGTTGCCACTGACTAGTTTTTGTATTTTCCGAATAGGGACGACAAATCCACTGATCCACTTTGCGTACAGTAGCAGCCGCCTTTATGTTTTGACAAAATGTTTTTGGTGAGTGCCCATTGACTTTGGCCAGACCAACCCGGGCAGACCGACCAGCAGACGACGCACATGAGTCTCCTTCGTCTATTTTTCCATGCAGGTTGCATACGAGCCCGCATTCGCATTCGTATTTATAATTTACCTGAGCCTTTCCGACGTTGACAATTTCCGCTTTTGGTTAGGGCTACAACTACACACATATTTTAATTTTCGGAACAAAAAAAAAACCATAATAGAAGAGAAAAAGGGAAAATTGTGTCCAAGCAGAGTCCAATACGCATTTGTAGCGACTATAAGCGGATTATGTTTTTCCTGAATGCGGAGGAAATGGAAACTCGCAATTTTTATGAATATGAAAAGCCGCTTTGGCCAGCAAAACTAACTAACTTCAAACAAAAATATTACAAGAATACTAAGAAAAAAACAAAATAGGTCCTGGAATGTTATTAGAGCTCAGTCCAAAAGCTTACATTTGTGTATATACCCTTACAGATTTGGCGTTGATTTTATGGAACGGATCATAGGGCTTCTATATGTTATACAAATATCAATATTTAGCTGAAAATTTGTGTGCGGCAGCCTAAAGAAATACCTATGTTTTTAAAATATCTGTAGGCATCGGGCATATTTGTAAAGCTTTCTCAATAAGAGTGCTTTGATTTATTTATCACAAGCTAAATTTCAGCGCACGTGAACTTTAATCCAACTATTAACTTATTATGCTTGTTTGCTTAACTTGTTTAAATGTTTTAAATACTATATATATTACATAGATTTATTGAACTCCAGCTAAAACTAAGCAGGGGGAAACTTTTATCCAGCTATTATGCTCTGAAAGCTCTCGTGAACTTTCGAATTTGTTTGCTTAATAACGACAATATGCTGCTTAATAATGTAAATAGTATATAGATTTGTTTTCCTTGTGTTTAGGCCGAGCACAGTTGAACTCTAATCCAGCTGTTTACTTTAAAAACTCTTAAAGCCTTCATAAGACTTCCAAACATTCAGAAATGTGGGATGTTATGTGGCAGTCTGAGCGTATTTCTTCAGTCACTCGAACTCCAAAAATATTCCACAATCCCCTCACAGATGGATAGTGTATATAGAAAAGTGTTCGGCGCGCTGTTGCTTCCTCTATTGAATATAATGCGCTTGCTGCTCTGTTAATTAGTTTTGGTTTTGGTTGTGCAATTTGTCACAGAGTCGTGTGTGGACTGTCTTAAAGTCTTAGCCCCGGAGACTGACTTTAAGTTTTGGCGCCCATAAATATGCCATAAAACTATTTGGTCGCTTGGCTAGATAAAGGGGAGGCGGACAGCAAGTGTGGCAAACGGACAAAACAAACCGAAAACCCACCACCAGGGAAATAGTCGGAGGGGGCGCAGCGCAAGGGGAATTGCGGAAGCTATGAGACTAGCGAGACTTCTGAGACTTCTGCGACTACTGTGCACCATAACAAAGTTAATAATAATAAAGCAGAGCAGAGCAGAGCAGAGCGGGCAGCTGTGGTGAAGGAGGAAGGGATAGAGAGGGGTCACAGGCACGCCCCCAGACAGAAAGATATTCATTCAGTGTATTCAGTGAGTGGTGCCAGCAAATACGATTACAATTTGTTACACTTACACAGCACAAAAATCGAGACCATCCCCCTAAAGAAAAAGGAGCAACAACGCCAAAGAGTCGCCAGTTGTGGTTATACAAATCTGGAATCTTGAATCTGGCCTCATCAACCTGACCAGAGAAATGCCCAGAAAACGAGCGCATAAATCAGGCAGCGCTGCCCCAAATCGATTGGGTGAAAGGGAAGGGCAAAGGCAAAGGCAAAGGAAAGGGCCCGAACGGCCCAGGGGATGTTTCAGTCTAATCAAAATCAATGTCAGGCAAGGGGAATGAACAACTGTACGAGTCTCTTGGCACACGCTCTCTCTCTAGCCGCTCTCCACCTCTCTGCCCTGTAGACGATCAGCGGACATGAATTAATTTATCAAAGTCAGTCAGAAGACAGGGCCTTCGGGAATTAAACGACAATGACGATCCATTCATGACTTATTAATAAACTAACGATCGTCTTGGGCTCTGCGCTCTCCACTCCGGAAGCGGCTGCTGCAGTTGCTCTCGACATTTCCAAATGGATGCCGATCCACTTGGCTATGGAGTAAATAGGTAAAGCGTTTGACTTTTATTAATTACAACTAGATCTTTATTTATAACAACAAATTGTTCACATTTATCAAATTGGCTTAGGACATAATACATAATACATCTATGTATTAATTATCATGTTTCGATTGTGTTCTATTCTTTGCCCTCAGGTTCTTTGATGTTGTTGTTGGGTCTTAAAAGTGTTCAGAATATTTGAGTTTCTGCCAGCCGGCGCGTTGTCTCCGCATTTCTCTATAGCTATTGGGCAGTCCATAGAAAAAGTATATGGATAGACCTGGGTAATTGAAAATCGAACTGATCGGATTAGATTTTTACAATTATAATACTTGGCAGCTATCATGCACATGCAATAGATTTACGTTTATAATACCATTCTTTTAGACTACATTTTTGATCTATTATAATAATTATATGTAGATTGCTTTTTATTGCTTGATTTGGAATAATCCCTGGGAGTGTTTTATCATAATATGTGCGAATAAGTTGTATCGACACTCGTTTCACTAATATTCTTTGGAACATTTGCTTCCCTTATTGTTTTGGTTAATATCACAAGGTTTATAATAAAAACCAGTTTTCTCTAGGAAAAACTAAATCCTAACTCTCATATTCGTTGCTCGATAGGGTTTAATAATCGATTTAAAGGCGTTTCAAGTTCAAGTGTTTAAAATGCTTACTTAGTCTAATTATTGATACAAATATTTTCTTTCTATTGGATACTCTTCATGAGCTAAGCACCCAGTTATTTATTACTAGCCCTCGCGTAATGTATCTACAATTGCTTGCTCTGCATTCAACAGATTTCGAGTGCCTTCCGCTTCAATTAATTGGCCCTGTGGCACAGCCGCAGACCAATAACTTCGCAATTTCAGAATTTTGCAATCGAATTGCACGCGTTTTCCGCTGTAGAACTAAGCACTTATCATCTAGTATTGCCTTCATGTAACTAGCTAACCGTTCTATAGCAACAGGAAATGCAACTACATCTACTACAACATTTGATTACTACAGATTACTAGAGTGTGCAGCAGAAACGGTAGCTACATTTACAGTATGCTACAAAATCGAGAATTTCAACCCTCATCTTTGGCTTGGCTCATTCAATTGGCGTTTCCTCGACGTACACCGATTGCGGCCGACGGCGCATCACCACATCCGCTCCCGGACGTTGTTGGAGGCGATGCGAGGGACCTCGTTGCAATATGGCCTCCAATTTCGCTTTGAATGGCACCGGCTCTGACTCTGCTCCTGCTTCTGCTTCTGATGCGGTTGCGGATACGATGGGCGTGGAGTCAACTGGAGGCTTGACTGCAGTTATCTCCATGTTCTTGGCATCCACCACGAGCTCTCGACTCAAACTGGGTCGCTGTTTGTGCAAACTAATGCTGTTTATGGTCCTATACAAAACCGGATCGAATTTCGGTGCGCGCGGTATGTGGCCAGCTCCAGGCGCTGTGGCCACAGCACCATCCTCATCACCATTGGCATTAGCATTGCGGTTACTGTTGCCATTATTATTATCAGCTTCAGTTGCATTCGCCTCCTCATTGTCCGTTTTTAGTTCTCGGATAGCCTTCAGCAGCAGCAGGCGGACATCGGTTTCACTTTTCGATTGCTTTAGCTGCGGCCTTGCAGGCTTCTCTTTCTCGTCTCCTGTCGCCGCCAGATGCGGCGGCTCTTCGTTTCGCTTGGCTCTGTTCGCATTCGGATTCAATATTAGATGACTTAGTCGATTCTTAAACTTTTCCGAATGCAACGGATCGTCTACGGCAGAGGCAACCGAAGCCTGCGAGGCTATTGAGCCAACGGAAGGAACTCGCTTGAGTTGAGCTCTAAGCAGGGCTGGCGTAAGCTGTGCTTCTTCTGCCTGCTGCTTGTCTGTCTCTAAGCCTATCCTCGCCGCCTGTAGCTGCTCGTAGAAGGCGTCGCTGTCGAATAACTCCTGCAGCATTTCGCTGGCTGCCTGTTTGCACTCCTCGCGCCTGTACAGATCCAAGGATCGCTGACTAGCAACTTCATCATCGCTGCTGCTGCTGTGCACAGTGGCCACAATGGTGGTCTCTATCACACTGGGATACATTTCCGAATCGATGCTAAAGTTACGCGCAAATATATGCTGTTGGTCCAGCTGCTGCTGCTGTGAATCCTCCGCATCTAGCACATCGTCGAGCATCGCTATGACAGAGTGCTCGTCCTCAGCTTCGTTGGCGCTCAGCGTAGTCCTGGAATGTACGCTCTTTGTATCCTCCACATAAAAAATCTTGCCATTGGCATTTTTGTGCTCCTTCAAGTCCTCAAAAACCTCGCTCATATTCTGTATTTGATCCAAGCTGCTGGAATTCCTCACAATTTGCGTTTCATTCGTAAGTGTGCTCTGCTTGGATAGGTAGCCATTGCCATTGCTACCGACCAAGGGTAGTTCCTTGGGCATTTTTAATGCTTGGTAGAACGCAACACGTTCGGGATTACGTTTTTTTGGATCTTTGATGTCATAGAGACACCAGCATGCAATGTATATGGGTATACCTAAGGCATTACGGTTAGTAGTACAATTTTAAGGTAACATGCATTAGTCAAAGGCTACAACATGCAAATTAATAGACAACTGTGCGGGCGACTCACCCACAATCATCCAGACACCAAAGCGTATCCAAGTCCAGCTATCCAGCTGCAGCATGAGATAGATATTAATAAAGATGCTAATCGCCGGCACCACCGGCACAAAGGGCACCCGGAACAGGCGACTCCGTGCCTCACGTGGCTGTAAACAGGTAAGAAACAGCACCACGGCAATCAGCACAATGAATATAATCAGCAGGGTCAAGGCCCAGGGCCGCTCGGAGCTGATGGCGGGATAGGCCTGCATTAGTAGCACTCCAAGACCTAAGGAGAGCAGACCTGCAAATGGCCAAGGTGTTAAAATAAAGTTAACAACGAGAAATAACTGAGGCTCACGCCTCACTTGCACCTACAAAACAGAGTTGTCAGCACGCCCACAATTCTCGTGGAGATCTGATTGGGCTCCGCCACGCGATGCACATTAAAGAGCTGTGTGCACATGGAGCTCCAGGTGAAGCGTACATTTCGCGTCGTCAGCGAGGTCGCCTCGGAGATAGCTGGAGATGACTGCCCCACGTCTTCGCTGTATTCCATGTAACGTAGAATGGTTATGGAAACGGCAACCACGCTATAGGCCAGCAGAGTGCCAATAGATAGCAGGCTAACCAGCTGTGCCAGATCGAATAGACCCGCAAAGAGAGCCGTAAATAGAGCTGCCACAATGGAGCCCGTTACTGGCACCTGAAAACGTGGACTGATCCTGCCCAGAAAGCGAAACAGCAGACCATCCTGTGCCATGGAATACATGACCCTGGGCAGTGGAAACAATGCGCCAAATAGACTGGCCAGCAGGCCCACCAGTCCGCCAATGGTAACAATCCACATGGCCACCGGCCAGCCCACATACTCAAAGGCGTAGGGCAGCGGGGCATTGATATCCTGCGCATAATACGGCAACATTAGCGTCAGCACGGTGGATACGCCAAAGTAGCACAGGAATATGATGAGCAGCGATAGCAGAATGGAGCGTGGTATATTCTTGCGTGGATGCCGCACCTCCTCGCCCGTGGTGGCAATGCAATCGAAGCCCACAAAGCCGAAGAAGCAAGTGGCGGCGCCCTTTAAGGTGCCCTCGAAGCCAAAGGGAAAGAAACCGCCATTTCCTATGTCGGTGCCGTTCGCAACACTCGTAGATGCATCCACAGTCCAGTTGCTGAAATCAGCTAAAAGAAGAGACTATGCATTATTTAGCGGGTAGTAGGAATAGATAAGAGACTCACCTTTAATAGCGCCAGCTATGATGACAAAGCCCAAAATGAAAATATTAACACATGTGACAAAATTGTTGGCCATGGCAGAGGTCTCCACGCCAAAGGCCAAGGCAACTATAAAAAGAGAAATCAGTTTGAAAAGGGATTTAACTTCAACTAAATATCGCTTCGAATAACTCACCGCCAAAGACCACAACCAAGCCAAAGGCGAGGAAATCAAAGTAGCTGCCCAGAAAGCTGACATGCATGGGCGCCACCTCGGCAAAGGTTTCCTTCAGCGTGTCATTAAGCAGCGTGTCCAAATAGAGACTTATGCCGCGACAAACGCTGGCCGTACCAATCACATACTCCAATATCAGATTCCAGCCAATCACAAAGGCCACGAACTCACCAATGCACACATAGCTGTAGACATAGGCGGAACCCGCCTTGGGCACGCGAGCACCGAATTCCGCATAGCAAATACCTGTCAGGAAGATGTATTTAAGAGTATGTCAATTTGAATGGAGCTCGTTTGCCGCTCACCTGCCAGGAGCGAGGCCAGCGCTGCTATGGCAAAGGATATCATTACCGAGGGACCCGCCTGATCCTTGGCTATTTGGCCTGCCAGCACATAAACGCCCGCGCCCAATGTAGAGCCCACGCCCAACGCCGTCAGATCCCACAAGCCCAGGACGCGATTCAGTTTGGTCTCACCCTCGCTGCCATCGGCCGTAAGATGTTTGCGGCGTGTTAGCACCTTCCACGCCGAATATTGCTGAACCATTTCGGTATCTCTGCGAATAAAGGTTCATTAAACCTCGCGTTTCGTTTTGGTTTCTGTGTCTATAAAAAATTCCATCCATCTAAGTCTTAGCTTAGGGTTCATTCATTGCAGTAGCTGTAGCTGCCAAGATCATGCACATTAATTGACATCGCCATACCACATATGCCATGTCCCAGGCGCTTATCAGTCCAGCTTTTTGTTTTTATTATTATTATAAAATGCAGTACAAATTATTGAGCTCAAATTGCAATCATAGACAAGTCGTGGCAAATCAAATCGAGGCTAGGCCATTGTTCCTAGTTCGAACTCAATTGTTTTACTTGAGTCTGATTATTTACTTTTTAACTGTTGACGCTTAGAAGAGAGGCAAGAGAGGTATCCTTTCCCTGGTTTTACTTAATGAAAGTTGATTCTTTGTGGAAATTGGTCTCTTTTATAAGAATCTGTGTTGGGCACGGTTTTGCATTCGTTTTGGGCCTGGTCCTCTTATCCAATGACTAACCCACCTAACTGATAAGCATAGATGCTCAACTATTTGGTTCTAGGCAGTTTATTTACATTTGCGCTTCCTCTTTAAAATTTTATATTCTTGCTTATAAAGATAATTAAGTGGGTCTAGGTGAGGCGGGCAGAATGTCGAATGAAGAGTTATGCGCGTGTGTGTTGGATTTATATAATAGTAGTTATTATAATGAGCATATTTTAAGTGTATATCTAATGATAAATTATTTTCTACATAGTTAATTAGTTGACTTACCAACTTTTAAACAGTTGCCGACTGCTGCAATTGCTGCAAACTCTGTCCAAATATTTGCTTTCTGCCGGCTGAGTCTGAGGGAGGGGCGGGTGTATGGGTGTTACTTCCAAGTATGAGTGCGAATACGAGTATATTCGATACGTATTCACAGTTCGCTGCCGACGACGACAACACAACTGGCAGAGTTCGAGCTCAAAATGCGTCTGGCAGGCGGACGTTGAGTTACAGCCGCGAATTCGAATTGTTCTTTAAGATAAGAAGACAGCAAATAGCACGAGAGAACGAGCGAGAGGGAGACGGAGAGAGCGAGCATCAGATACTGATAAGAGATACAAAAGCGCCGCTAGAAAAGTGAGCAAACGGTAAACAATATGAAAAACTACAAATGCTGCAGGTAAATGCTTGTCAGGGCGAGCGGGCGAGGCGGCAGTTCGAGCGAAATCTGCTTGTAATTAGAGCGCCTATGAAAATTAGCAGGTAAAACAAAAAAAGAAAGGAAAAAGATGCTGTGACTGGTCAGGTTTACGATCTTACGTGCCACAGATATCAACTCTCTCAGCTGTTGTTGTGGCCGGTGCCGCAGCTCGCCCCGCACTGGCAGCCGACTTCGAGTGTCATTTATTGTTATTTATGTTGTTGAGATAAGATTGTTATTTGCCGTATTGAAGGTAGTATTATTTCCGATCTGACGACGACTCGGCCTTAACGCCGACGCGGTTTAATTACTTCGCTCTCACTGCAGCTGTGTACGCGCTCGCGGAATCACGTTAACTGAAACTGAGTGATAATAAACACTTGCCTATATGGCCCACAGCAGCAGTAGCCGCAGCGAATATAATGCAATATCAGTTAGCAGAGAGCGACCGAGAGAGAGAGTGAGAGAGAGAGAGTGAGAGAGCGAGCGGAGAGCAGTCTTAAAGTTAGCTCTTAAATAACACTTCAACTTGCTCGTAAATATTTGTTTTATTTTATTTTATGGGTCAGCTAAAACGAGTTGAATAATATTTATAGATTGCCATCAATTCCCTAATGCAGTTCCAAAAATAGCTAAACTCTGTCCATATATCTTGTTCCATCTATTTCCAAATGTATTTTTATCATCATTTATACAGTAATCTATATTAGATTTCCATTTTGTTTTTCTAAAATTTAATTGATTCACTTTGGCTGCCTAGATAAGACTTGCTGAAGTGCAAAAGGCAATCTTTACATTCACAAGTGTCAAAGACATGCACAATAAGTGATTTTAATTAGTATATACTCTGTGTATGTATGTAATAAAATGTTTAATTTATGAATATACTGATAATAACGAGATACCTAGACAGCATTTCAGTCAGGTCCGGTAATTTCATGTATTACGATTTGTATCAGAAGTGAGAACTTCGACAAATTTAAATTGAATTGTTTTGCAGTTGACGCTTCAAAAACTGACGCAACAAATTAACAACCCCCTTGAGGGGGGACTCACTAACCCATACGTGTGCCTGTATTATTGTTGCTGAAACACTATTACATATATCTCATATGTGTGATAAACGCCTCGCCATTAGCAACTATTAAATTATCTATAAACTGATTACGGGCATTATTAAACCAAGGCGATCTATGGCCGCTCCCGGCCGTTTATGGCTATGCGTCATATGGGATTATACACTGAGCGAATTGATCAAGAAGAAAATCATACGTGTATTTAAAAGTTGTGAATAACAAATTCTTTTAAAACTGCCCTTAAAGAATGCTTGCAATCTTCTTATTTTTGAATCAAATGCCCATTTCATTTAATACAATTAACTTTTTTCGCTAAGTGTATTCGTCACTTTTCGGATTACGCAGTAATAGTCATAGGGCAAACGATCAAAAGGAGCTATAGCATCGACGACACGGGTATGAGTACTCATACTCATAATCGTAATCGAATGTACGCTCCGCTGATAAGATACTCGGAATGCTCTTCACACTTTCACTCAGGGCACATGATACGATTGGGCGTATGCCAAGTGAGGTGGCGAGGGGGTCTAAATCACGCAGCTCACGTTGTGTGGGCATTAAAATTTTACTGCCACCGACTGGCAAAGCTACCTACTAAGTAAATTCCCCCACACACACACACACACACAAGCTCACAAAGCAGCATGTTTTTGGAATTGTGGGGACATGGGAGGGGGGCCATTGGGAGTTTTCGAAGAAAATGTGCGGAAATGCCTAGCACTTGTGGCTGAGATTGCAAATTGGCATTGCGATTGCCTTTGTTGTCGCCAGCAAATAGAAATAATCTAATTTAAATAATTAAGCTCACAAATTAAATGCCTCAAATTGCGTTGCTGAATTCATTTAACGCCAGAATGACAATAAATGAGTTTTACTTCACTTTTTATACCCTAAACCCATTGAAAACGGGTATATTAGTTTTGTGTAAATGTATGAAAGGACGCATGTACCACACCATAAAGTATATAACATATGTATATTCTTGTTTGCCATGTCCGTCGTTCCGTATGCATGAACCGATCGATCTCAGAACCCATAAGAGCTAGAGACCAGGAACATTAAAACGTAGGTCCTCCTAGTGCCCATGCTACGAGTTTGTTTCCGGTAAACGATAACTTGATCCGTTTCCAATCAATTGATAACAACCAATATCGAAATTTGTTCCTTCTGAAAAGAGTTCTTAGTATGGGTGCGAGGTATAAGAGGATGGCAAGCTAGTCGGGCCCTCCCGACTATAGCAATCTTACTTGTTTATGTATGTTTTTTAATAAACGTTTGCATAAATGCAATATATATACATGTATTTAGTCATGCAGTATACATATTTATTAATATATGTCCCTTTACCAGACCAAGCTAAAAAAAAGTATTCTTAAATATTGCCCAACTATGCAATTCTCGTAAGGCCAATTAAGACACATTGGTTTTTATACTTGTTAATAATAAAGAAGAAAATTTAGACTTGGACAAGGGTTATAAGTAGTATTAGTATTAAGTTTTAAGCTTAAAGTTGCAATAGCTTCCGCTGCCTTGACTTTTGCTTAGAATCCAATTTTGGGAATATAACTTAGTAGACCTTCGCTTGCCTCCGTTGAGGAACTTTAGTAGGCCAAGCCACAAGTCATTCATATGTTCAGAAATCCTTAACCAGGTTGATTTCAATTCATTTCGACCTGCTTTGTAGATCGATTTGTAGAACGTGCTGAAACATGACTGTTTCCTATACTGCAGAGGTAGCTACCTGCCGCCGTTTCGGCTGCTTCTGGAAGCTACTGGTCAGGTAAGCCACATCTTGTTGTTAATTGTAAATGCATTGTAATAGCTTTCGAAAGCCACCGCTAGATGGCGTGCAAGCATTTACAAAATAATTTGGGCAGATTTGTTGGCCTTCTTGTTCGCTTTCTATGCCATGGCCTTCATGTATCGCTACTTGCTCGGGGATGAAAACAAACGGTTTGGAAAATCGATCATTCGTTTCGCATGTCCTATAAATCCCGCCCTACCCAATACCCAGCACTTTTGAAAATATTGTGGAATATTGTCGAAGCTATGGAGCTCTAATACCGCTGTCCTTTGTGCTCGGTTTCTATGTGGCCATTATTGTGGAACGCTGGTGGAGTCAGTACATCACGGTGCCCTGGCCGGATCCATTGGCTGTCTATGTGAGTGCCCTGGTGCGTGGTCAGGATGAGCATGGACGACTAATGCGTCGCACCATAATGCGTTATGTTTGCCTCTCTCTGACCATGGTGCTGACTATGATATCGCCGGGAATCAAGCGTAGGTTTCCCACCTATGATTACTTTGTGGAAACGGGCCTGCTCAACAAGAACGAGGCATTAATTATAACAAAAATGGATGAAAAGTTTCCAAAGCATTCCAAGTACTGGATGCCGCTCATGTGGGCCTGCAGCATTATGACGCGTGCCCGTAAGGAGGGACGCATCTGGGATGATTTCTCGCTCAAGTCCATGATCGACGAGCTGAACAAGTTCCGGGCGGGCTGCAACATGCTTACACATTACGATATGATCAGTGTGCCACTTGTTTACACCCAGGTGGTCACACTGGCAGTCTATACATATTTTCTGGCTGCCATTTTCGGTCATCAGTACATCGAAATGAACGAAAAGAAGTACATCGAGTTCAACGAAAAGAATATTGTCAACTATTATTTTCCAGTCTTTAGTACACTTGAGTTCTTCTTTTTCGTCGGCTGGCTTAAGGTTGCCGAGACACTGATTTGTCCCTTCGGCGATGACGATGATGACTTTGAGCTAAACTGGGTAATCGATCGCAATCTGCAGGTTAGCTATTTAATTGTGGACGAGATGCACAACGATCATCCGACCTTGGTCCGAGATCAATACTGGGACGAGGTCTTTCCCAATGAGCTGCCATACGCAGACGAGTCGCAGCGTCACGCGCCGCCCGAAGCATCCACCGCCAAGTTGGACCTGTCCAAAATTACATCCTCACAAATACCGAAGCGTACACCAACTAGTACCAGCGAGCGCGATTTCACTGATTTTGATGGCGAGGATGATGAGTACGTGAAAGGCAACGAGCTGCGTATCAAGTTTGCGTCACGTCGGTTCGATATTCATCGCAGCTCGTCGTCCGTTTCCTTTCTCGATTTTAGTCCCTTGGAACCCATGGATGACGACCAGGACGCCCAAGACGGCCAGGACGAGGGCGACGAAGAGGAGCTTATGTATGACTTGCAGGATGAGCCGTCAACTCGTGAGAGCAGCAAGGATGATTTTGATCGTCTGCGGGAAGAGCGGGAACGCGAACGTCACGCCAGGCAATTGCAGCATGCAGCCATGACCTTTGATCTGCTTAAGGGCGAACTGCATCACCTGTCTGAGTCAGGAAATCAATCAGAAGCAGTCTCGGTACAGTCACCTCCAAGTGACCAGTCCTCTCCCTCACGGAGGGATAGTACAGTGCAAACGGAAAAAAGTTTTGTTACCAAAAAAAGCAAAGAGTAATCACATTTAAAATGTGTTAAGGACCAAGAAACTATAGTACTCCATCAATATCAATAAAGTTTTTTATTAATGTAATAAAAACATAGATATAATCGAATCCGTTTTGATAAAGGCTGAAATTTGGCAGTAAACTGAACTGGTGCGAAGAGCAGAGTACATTTTGTGAGTGCATGGACTGCCTTCCACAAAGTTAGGGCCGGATTGACCGAATTGGTAATGAAGAATAGCTCCTCTAAAGATATTTAGCTCACCTTCATTATAAGGACTGGAAGACAATTCCATTTTCTTAATGAAGTTGTCGGGCAGAATATTCAAATCTGCACTTTTTAAATAAAACGAGAAAGGACATCTTTGGCGTGTCATAAATTTAATGCCCTTCTCAAGATTTTGTGAGACTATTGAAATAATCTTGAGAAGCAGAATACAAGAACCTCCCTTTCAACCGATCGTTCCTGTCAGCTATACGATATAGTGGTCCGTATATGTATTGCCTGCAACAGAAAGACGAACCTATGAACCTATCAAGACGATAGCCTTAAGACTGAGAGACTAGTTTGCATGCATTGAAAGATACAGACGGGCAGAGGAACGGACGGACAGACATGGCTATATTAACTCGGTTCTTGATGCTGATCTAGAGTCAATATACTTTATGTCTGCTGCAATCGTAGAAAAATATATTATATTTATTTAAACGGAATATTTGTTCAGAAAACGTATCGTATACGGCAGGCGTAGACATATTTCTCAGTTTGCTAAAGTAACTTGCCTGAAATATTGTTGGTTGATTTCAGTTGCTAACTTGATCGGGTTCAGTCATGACGGTCACCTACACAGCTAACGTCGCTACCTCGAGGGTTATTAGTAACTTTTTGCGCTTATTATTCAGGTATATTCTTGTTAGGCTGTGCTGTGTTAAAAAGTGGGCTTAACCCTAAGTTTCGTGTCTGTCACAGATGGCGCGGCAGCATTTACAAGCTGGTCTGGCTGGACTTGCTTGTGTTTCTGTTCATATATCTCTTATTGGCAGTATGCTACCGGACGGCAATGAATGACACGGCACGCAGGTGAGTACTTACCATAATCATCTGGCACTAACCAGCGCTCACCTCCTCGTCTTTAGAGGCTTTGAGTGTGTAGTTTTGTATTGTAATAGCCATGCCACACTCATACCGTTGTCATTTGTGCTGGGCTTCTTTGTGTCGATTGTAATGAATCGTTGGTGGGCTCAGTATACGACAATACCGTGGCCGGATTCGATAGCGACGCTCGTTAGCTCCAGCGTGCATGGCTTCGATGACCGTGCTCGGGCCATGCGGCGCACAATCCTGCGCTATGTGTGTCTGTGTCAAGTGATTGTGTTCACAATGATATCGCCCAGTGTTAAGATGCGTTTCCCCACCTACGATCAAATCATTGATGCGGGACTGCTGCAGGAGAACGAAAAGGATATCATTGAGACGCTGGATCTTCAATTTCCGTACTATCCGAAGCACTGGATGCCGATTGTCTGGGCGGCCAGCATTGTGATGCGTGCCCGTAGAGAGAATAAGATACGGGATGATTATGCGGTCAAAACGATTATCGACGAGCTGAACCGCTTCCGCGGCTTGTGCGGATTCCTGCTGTACTACGATTGGGTCAGCGTACCTTTGGTTTACACTCAGGTGGTCACACTGGCCACATATACGTTCTTCCTATGCAGAGTCATTGGCCAGCAGTGGATAGACAATCCGCAAAGTCGCACCGTCAAGAATAGGATCGACCAATACTTTCCCATATTGACAGTTCTGGAGTTTTTCTTCTACATGGGTTGGCTGAAGGTGGCCGAGTCCTTGATTAATCCCTTTGGCGATGATGATGATGACTTCGAGGTAAATAACCGAAAGCCTTAGTACATTGTATTAACAAGTGGCTCGCAGCTCAACTGGATGATTGATCGTAATCTGACCGTATCCTATTTGATTGTGGATGAAATGCATCAGGAGCATCCGGAGCTGCTCAAGGATCAGTACTGGGATGAAGTGTTTCCCAACGAGCTACACTATGCCGACGAGTCACAGCGGCCAGCACCACCGGAGCATTCCACGGCCAAATTGGTTCAATCGAAATCGGCGCGCAGTAACGTACCAGTAAGATAGTTGGGGTCTTCACAGTTGTCTGTCTGGCTGCATAGAGTAGATTTTGGTAGATGCTCTCTAGGTTCCAGCCTGATGGAACTTTTGTGAGTATACGAGTGGCTTTTCCGAGTTAAATCGAGTCCTTGGAGACATTTTCAAAAGTGGCCTCTTTCATTTTTTCCAATCACTTGGTATTTTTCGAAACGAAATTTAACACGATCCTTGCATATCTAGACTGGGCTCTGTTCCAGAGAATAAGAGAGTGTATTGTTTAGTTCTACCAAAACAAAGTCCACCGAGTCGACTTTATGCAGCTTTGCAAGCAACTGTGAATACCCTAATTATAATTAAGGCATTCATTTGATAATACACACAACATTGCTGTCACTTTTAGTCTGTTAGGTCGTCTGAATCCTATAAGCCGGAGCCGGTGTTCTTTTTGCCGCACTCGAGTAGTTTCACTACGCACACCAGTTCCATGAACTGGTCCACCTCAGGCATAACAATCGGCGACGAAATCGGCGACTCGTTATTTAGACACAAGCGCTACGAACGATTAAGACGCAGGCACGAATCCGACGAGGGACAAAGTAGTACTAGTTGTAAGTGTTCAGTGAAACCTCACAGCAATCGAGTGTAAAGTATATTCGTGATGTCCGCAGTGAACTTCGAGGAGCTGATCGAGCAGCGCAACCGTGAGAGACGTGAAAGGTTGCGCCATCGTTTCCTCAATATGCGCAACAATCAGAGACCTGCTTCGACCGGGCGTTACGTAGTTACGGTCTTACGTCCGCCATCGCCGCGTAGCAGTCAGCATTCGAATGCAGCGGAGGGGGAGGAGGAGGAGGAGGAAGTGATGGAGCCAGAGACAGATGTGCCCAATAATAAGCCAGATAAATATGAGTAAAATTGCATAATAATTGTTGAGCAAATATTCAACTATTAAAGAGCTATTGGAAGTCGAGAATATAAAATGGGATTAAAGTATTATTTATTGCATTTTTCATTTGTTTCCGTGATTTTCGCACTGGGGCACAATCCTTAACACACTCGCTACTATTCACATTTCAGTGGCAAAAATTGTCACTGATGGGTTAACTTATCCAGTTTTTTTTTTTTTAATCAAGGGGAACTTTTGGCTTATGACAAAAATAACAAGTGATGTGGCTCATTGTTTGCATTATCACATCCGAACATCTGAAAATCTGACACGACGCGTGTTTTTATTTTCTTCTTTTTTTTTTTTTTGCACTTTTCCCGGCCTCAATGAAAACTCATAAAAACAGCAGCTGCTGTATGCTGTGTGGGCGTATGGCTGGTAAATAAAAAATTAAATAAATTGCAATGACAGTCGCTATTTATGAAAGTTTCAAAATTGTATTATTTTTAATGCGCGCTTGTAATGTGGTTGAATGCGGTTCGATTCAGTTCGCCATTTAACTCATTTGGGTGTTGACTTGTTTTTAACTGTTTTTTTTTTTTGTTTTTTTGTAGCTGCTGCTTTTTACATTTTTGTATATTTATCTGCTCGTTGTTTTTTACGCCAATATACATACATATAACCGTGCCAATCAGTCAATTTTTAATAATTGCACGACGATGTGTACATTGTCAGTAGACCACAGGCAAAACGAGAAAAGATATTCCACTAAGAGATTTCCAAAGCTGACTAAAAGATGCTCTAAGGAAGAAAAAATATATATGCATGTATATTTTTTTATATTTGTAAATAATATTGAGACGAATCATTTAAATGCGGGCTTAAACTGTTTATAGGGCTTAAATGAAATGAAAAATATAGAGATGATGAGTGAAAATGAACTTCGAAATTGTTTTGAGATGGTTTTTTAATGGTCTTTTTGGTGTTCATTGTGAATTGCTTAAATCATTTTGCTATAAATGTATATTTTTGAAACTTTAACAAAAAATGATGGAATTTATGTGCCTAACCATAAAGAACTTCATTTTAAAGTAGCCCAATTGCTTGCTAGCGATCAATTGAATAAGATCATTTAATATTTGTTCTGTTCTAATGTGCACATTATTTTATATATCAAGACAGTGTTCTGGCTGTTACATATCCCCTCAGCTATTGCATATGCCCCTCGACTTGGTCAGTTAATGGTTGTGAGGACATAAATATATTTCATATTTGCGCATCGCGTAGCTATGTTTTGTCCGTGTCACGTGGCTGTGCTGATTGATGACATGGTGGCCACTTGGCAACAAGCGATTGAGGACTGCACTTGCTGAAGGATGGGAATGTGAGTGCTGCTGGCGGTCCTGATGCGGCAGGGGCGGCGGCGGCAGGGGCGACGGCGGCGGCTGGTGTCAAACAAAAAAGGGGTTAATTTAATTTCGCGCACGAACGCATTTGTCCATAATTGGCAATTAGCACTGGCCATTGGCATAGCCAGCAACATGGCCTGCCAACATATATACGCACACATACCAACACACACACACACACGTTGGCCAACTTACAGCGCGGTCTGCGTTTGCATTTTGCATTTGACCAGCGGCAACAAATATTTGCCCGTGTGTTCGTTTTATGGATCCTGAATCCTTGCACTGTTTGTTGCCTTTTTTGTGAGCGATTTTTAAAAAATTGTTCGAATTATTGAGGCGTTGAAACAATAATCATCGCCTCGCCTCGCCCCGCCTCGTTTCGCATTGCGCCGTATCGAATATTTATTGCCTGATTGCAGCTGCTGCTCGGCCACGTTAATTGCAACAGCCATGCAAAATAGGTTTAATACCAACTGTTTTTGGCCTGGGCAGGGGAAGGTATGTGGCCTTTGGGATGCGATTTTGAACTCATTTTTCACACAATTTTTCAAAGTCACTTTGGTAATTTGATGACACCTCTGGGAAGGCGCATTTCACCCGAGTAAATGCTAACTATTTGCTACCTTAGGGCAATTTATAACAGGGGTTGCTTCGCTTTTGGCAGCAATATTCAACAAGCTATAATAGCTTAAAAAAAAAAAAACTGGGTTTTATTTTCGGGAACATGCAGGATCTCAAGGCATGCTCGCAATTGTCTTTTAAACCATTTTTTAAAGTCGTTCAGTACATAAATATATTTAATTAATTTACTAGAATATTCTTAAATTTATATACAATTTAAATGTTACATTATATTCTAAGAATTTATTTTTAATTTCTGTTTATCTGCAGCAAATCTTGAACAACATTTTTGAAAGTAACGTGATAAAGATGTCAAGGATATACAAGGATATACTTGTCACATTGCTGACACGTGCGAAACTTGTAATCTCTACAGCTCTCCAAAGGTGAGTCCGTTTTTATTTCTTTGAGAAAATCAAATCACCTTATAAAGTCCCATTTTTGTTTGCGCCTATCTCAAATCTAAGATAAATCAGTTTAGAGTGCATTGGATTGTCCTTCCAAATAAATTTAACCCCAAACAGCCCATATCCTTGGCCGGTTTGTGAAAAGCGCATTAGTCGCTGGCAACGACACCGCCGGACATTATCGTAAGCATCTTTGACTTTCATCCCGGCTAATGCTAATGTCCTTTCGCTCAATCTCCATCTCTGTCTTTGTCCCTGTCTCTGCTCAGCTCTGGCTACCTTTTTGGGCAGCCGATTTTGTTGTTACAAGGCTAATTATGTGACAGCCTATTAGCAACTCGATAAATATGTGCCCGGCGGAGAGTCGAGTGCAAATAGACCCATTCCAATGGAGCTATTTTCATACTTTTTTTTTGTTCTGTCCAGCGAAAAGTTTGCTTTATGGCGCCTCCCCTTCACCTTCAGCTCGTGCACACCGCCCGTTCGTTTTGGGCCTCATTCATTAGATATGCGAACCCTGCTCCCGGGCTGATTATGACAAAGCACTTTTACCCAATTGGGTAAATTAGGTGGAAACTGAAAACTAAATGAAACGGAACTGGGCATACGCCCACTTTGCCCGGTCGCCAGTCGCTCTAATTTCGAGAGAAAGAGAGAAAAAATAAGAAAAAAAGAAAATTCCGTTGCCTCTCTGACGTGCTTTTTGCCGTGCAACATCAGAGCTTGGAACTGGAAACTCGGACCCGTAGCAATTATTCTGCATTAACAAAAGGGTTTAACATTTGGCGTTTTAGCCAGTTTCAAGCGAAGCGACGTCCGGCAACGTTTAACAACAACAAGCCGCACATTATGGGGCGCCGAAAGCAGAAGAAGGCGAAAGTGAGGGTGAGGTGGGATGGGATGAGGATGGCGATGGGGATGGGGATGGGGATATTTGTCCTGGGGGCTTGTATGCATTGTAATTCATTCGTTACGTAGCGTTTGTGACTTTTTTTGCAGTTGTTGTGCGGTTGCAGCGTCGACGATAAATTGTTGTAATTAATTTTTATTTAACTGTGAAAATGGAAACTTTTTTTGTGTAACATTTTCAGAATTGGCTTAAAATGTAAATTATTATTGCGGCCAGAGAATTCTGTGCGTCATGTTATGGAGGCAGGGGCAAAAGCCAGATGCGCATTGTGTGCGGATTTTGGTTGGTTGGAACGTGTGTTCCATCTATTAATTAAGCTGTGTGGGTGTGTGGGTGTGTGGGTGTGCAGGACCCCCTTCTGAGCTTGTGCCGAGGTGGGGGGTCTCGTGATGATGCTGCTGTGCTGTAAGTGATAATTACAAGTTAGCAACTTTTACACTCAATTGTCACAATTAGAGGGCTGCAGTCAAGATGAGGCAGTGGCCCAAGAGTAATTACAATTACAGGCAGACAACACAGCAAAACAAAATTGCAGTCGCAAGTTCTTTATTAGTTTTTGTGTGTTGTCAAGTGTTTGGAGCAGTTCGTTTGCACAAATTTACCAAACACAAACGCTTTTCTAATGCCCAGTCCCAGCCATAGTCAAGAATATTGTTTGGCCAACAAACTTTAACGTCTCAAATCCTTTAATTTAAAACAGCTAGATTTGCTTGGCGTTAGCTCTTGCTCTCGCTCTCGCTCGTTGGCTCTTTCGCTCCCGCTGCCCAGTGCAAATATCGCTCTGTAATGTGGGCAAACTTTTGTCTAAGTATTACCAATAAAATTGATGGAGAAATAGTCAGAAACTATTTGGTCGTAGATAAAAAACTTTTTTCCCCTCGAAAGTGTGGGGCAAAACAACAAATTCCTGCCAGCAATAGCTTGGTTTACTTATATTAAAATTCCCAAAAAGCTAGAACAAAAAATAAGAGTGCTCTAGTCGGATGCGTTCGACTAGGAGTTACCCTGCAGCCTGCGCCGTGCTACAAACATTCTAGCTCTTTGTCCTTTCGTCGGTGTTTGTTGTCCGATCTTTATGAAATGTACAGTGCATAAATGTAGCTGCCTAACGTGTGTATATACCGAATCGCAAAACTAGAACTTCCAAATAATGTTTGGTTCATGTTGCTTATATTTAAACCAAGTGTAACAATTAATTTTAAGAGATAGTTGGGAAATGGGACGAGATATCGACAAGCTCCGAGAGGGACGTATTCACACAGACAGTCAGACAGACAGACATAGCTTATTCCACACAGCTCGTCGTCCTGATCAAGAAAATATATAACAAGACTATGTATTCTGTCTGTCACATACATTGGCATAAAAACATGATACCCTCTTTACAAATTTTCAATGAGTTCAGGGTATAAAAATGAAAGCTAAAGCGAGCTTAAGAAAAACAAGCGCAAAATAAGTGCAAGTGAACTAAAAGTGAAGCTAACTGAAAACTGAACTGAAAACGATTTTTGAGCAGCCAAAAAGGGGTTCAAATTTTAAGTAAGTGTTTGGCTTTGGCTCTGCAATGCCACAAAAGGGATCCAAAACTCCTTGCACACAACTTTATGCCAAACTCATGAGTTTCAAAGTGGGAAACTCCAAAGCATTGGAATGTTGCAGAAGCAGCAGCAGCAGCAGCGGTAGATGAGGCAGGAACATGAGCTAAGGGCACAAAATGAATGAATAAATGAATGAATGGATAGCTGAATGAATTGGAGTTGGGAAACACTAAAGTTGCCCAACTAGAATGGAATTCATAATTGCTGCAGCTGAGCAGATTCCTGTGCACGAGGGAAACGGTCAGCGCCAACAACTGAAAATTAAATTTACCTTATTTAATTTATATTAAATAAATACTTTAACCGGCACTCTAAAGATTAACAAATAAGCAAATTTGAAATACGCGAAAATTCTTAAATATTTTTTTCTTATTTTAATTCAACACAATATACACCTTAAATTGTAAAATCGCATTTACTTCGCCCACTTGTTCGGGATCTAATCAACATTTTTGTTAAGAGCTCGCAGCGTGTTTTGAAAACTTTGCTCAAATTCTAGGCCAATTATTGACACATTTGGCAAGACGCCGCGAAAGTTGCCTAAAAGCTACTTCCACAGAGTAAAAGAAAGAAAAAAAAAGTACGAAGAAAATCATATAAAAACCAATCAAAGTTTCAAACAGTTTCGAACAGGTGTTTTGCCAAAGCATAACACCCTGTACCTGTGCTAAATCAGACGCCCCTCGCTCCCTCGCCCCTCATTTACCTTGGTTGTCCACCATTCATGCGAAAACACGCACAACTTTTAGCTACTTGTAATTAGCTTTTCTTGTTCGATTCGCTGGCAGCCGCAACTTGAACCACACAGCCCCAAAAGCGACAGTTCCTAAAACGCTTAACACGCAGGCCTTGTTCAAACGGATCCCCTCCCTGCCGCCCCCCCCTTCACTATGCGTCCCTTCATCCTTCGTCCTGCAGTGGTAGCAACACATTTTTGCGTGCCTCGGCAGCAAGCGAAATTTGTTCTTACGCTCTGAAAGATTTAACTTTTTGATTGAGAAAACATCATTAACGCACGTAAAAGGCCAACTATTTACGGCTTGGTAAGTGTGCGCGTGTGTGTGTGTGTGTGAGTGTCTAGGTTAAAAGTTTTTGGTTTTTCTGGTGCTAAAAATCAAATAGGGGAAAGCATTGCTAAGGAGAAGAACGTTCCACGAAACTTTCTAATCACATTTACCGCAATTACTAACAAGGTTTTTTGTTGACTGCGGTGGGTATTTGCGGCTCTTGTTGGGTTCTTCTACATTTCACTGGGAAGGGGATGATGCGGTGCTTTTGAGGTTTTCTGTCGGTATACGCATCTATTTTTAGTACAAGGCAAATTAAATAATTTAATTAATTATACAATTTTTGCTTCAATTTGCGTCGTTAAGCAGTCAAGCTTGGCATTTAACCACATCAGGCTTTGATATAAACACCAAATTAATCGCTGCAAATAAGAGAGGAATACCAAGAAATGAAATGTATTTAATTTTTAAGAAAGTCCTCTAATTGTTATTTCTTGTTTTCAAACCATTTGCACCACATTTAAAGCAAGTTCTCGCTTATATTTGCACCACCGTGAGCCTCTAGAGAAGTAAACGAACCTCATCACAGATGCACCCTTAAATGTATCGTGAAAAATAGTGCATAATCAATTAAACCCTATCGTCAGGGTTAGGTTAGGCCGCAAACAAAAGTGAATTCTCTGTCCATTCATAGGGAGCCCGAAACATTTAAATTGAGCTAATTCAACCCTAACAAATTGATAATACATTATCTACGCAAGCGGGATCTATGCAGGCTCTACTTTAAAAGGATCGTTCACATGCTCCATCAAAGTCAGGCCCATTGCTGCTGCTGCTGCTGCTGCTACCTGAATGCCAAATTATTTATATCGCACTTAAATTGCCAATAAATAGAAATTTAGGATCTTTTGTTGTGCGGCAGCTCAAAAGGGGTGAACATGTCGTCGACAGCTGCGCTCAACGCAATTTACAATTTTTTATAGAGCTGCCGAAGCATAAAGTCGTCGATCGAGACGCTTCCTACTTATAAGTAGGTACTCAGGTTCTAGATCCTAAGTAAATAACAATTGAGTTTGCGCAAAAAAAAAGGAGAAAAGTGAGAGGAGAAAAGGCAACAATCTTAATCTTAAAGCAATTAATGCCCGAACGCTAATGATAGGGGCGGGTCTTAGGCGACCAGGCGGCACAGCATAACAATGATAATCCCAAAAATATGAAGGGAAAAGATGTGCTTGGTACTTACGGACATAGTCGTATTTGGGCATTTATTTTTGTGGACACAGGACCGCTAAACAAGTGCCCGGGATTATGGTCAAATCGAAAACTTTCAAAACATTTTAAATGCCTCGGCGGACTGCCAGCTGTGTCGCCTCCATCAACAGGCCCAGCTTCAGTCTCCAGTCTCTGTTTATTTGCGGCTCTGTTGCTCACACGGATCAGGAGGCGTGGTTGGCAGGGTACGAG